CCCTACTTGCGGCATTCTTTACGTCTTTTACAAACCCTAAACCCCAAACCCTAAACCCTACACCCTAAACGCTAAGCGCTTTAGTCCGCACCGCGAAGCTCTCGTAGAAACTGTTGCCTGAATGAACAGACGAAGCAGAAGCAGCAGCAGCAAACAGCAGCAGCAGCGAGCAGCAGCAGCAAGCAGCAGCAGGAAGCAGCAAGTAGCAGCAGCTGCTGCAGTTGCACGCAGAGCCTCTCATTTGCCTCCTTAAGGATTTGTTCTTTTCCTCAAAAGAAATAGGACATTGCCGTAGCTACTTGGCTAGCTGTGGCTAGCTAGCTAGCTAGCTAGCCAGCTAGCTAGCCGGCTAGCTAGGTAGCTAGATAGCTGGCAAACAAGGTAGCTGGCCAGACGGCTGGCTAGCTAGCTGGCTAGCTAGCCAAGGCGATGTGGGCCCCAGGCACAGCTAGCCAACAAGTGGCTAGCTAGCCAGGCAGCTAGCTGCTCCCTATTGTTAAAACTCCGCGAAGCTTCTTCGCTGCAGCAGCAGCAACAGTTACAAAAGCAGCAGCGGCTACCGCTGCTGCTGCTGCTGCTGGGGTGGAGCGCCCTTTGTCCCTCCATTGTCACTTCAGCTAGCTGGCTAGCTAGCTAGCTATCTATCTAGCTAGCTAGCTGGCTAGCTAAGGCGGCAGCTAGTGGCTAGCCAAACGCCAGCAGCTAGCCGCTGAAAAGCGCAGCTTGCAAACAGCAGCGGGCTAGCTAGCTGGGTCGGCCGAGCAGCAAGCTAGACAGCTAGCCGACTGCTAGCCAGCCGCTAGCTAGCTAGCTAGCTAGCTAACTAGCCAGCTAGCTAACTAGCCAGCGTATGAGCTAGTTTGCTGGCTAGCCACATGCAACTAACCACCTCATTGGCTAGCTAGCTCACTGGCTAGCCACAGCTAGCTAGCTAGCTAGCCAGCAAGACAGCTAGCTAGCTAGCCAGCTAATTGGCTGGCCAGGTAGCTAGCTAGCCAGGTAGCTAGCTAGCTGGCTAGCTAGCTATCCAGAGAGTCCCCCCAGAGCCAGGCACTAGCACTCGTACACCAGGCCGTCATGCACCCTGCAAAGCACCCTCAAACCCTAAACCCTAAACCCTAAACCCTAAACCCTAGACCCTAGCGGGGTTGTGTCTGGGACTTCGGCTTCCGGTCTAGCAGCCTGCTAAGACCCTAAACCCTAAACCCCAAACCCTGAACCCTAAAGCCTCAACCCAAAACCCCAAACGCCAAACCCTAAACCTCAAATTCCAAGCCCTAAACACTGTACCCCAAGCTTTAAACCCTAAGCCCTAAGCCCTAAGCCCTAAACCCTAAACCCTAAACCCTCACAGGATGGGGGCTGAGTCTTTGGAGTTGAGTTCTATCAGGGCCTTCTTGAATTGCTGCTGCGTTGGCTCAGAAAGCCCGCGGGCGAGCGCGCGGGTGGTGACCTGAGTCCAAAAAGCAAATAAATGGCCAAATAAATGAATGTATAAACAAAATAAATAAATAGATAATCAATAAATGATAAATAAATAATCAATAAATGATAAATAAACACAAATTGAAAAAAAACGAAAAAAACGAATATAGCAGCAGCAGCAGCAGCAGCAGCAGCACTCACCGCCTGCAGCAGCAGCTCTTCAGCCACGCCGCCGCCCTCGTCCAGTTCTTTGATGGAATTCATTATCAAACTGTGCAAAATGTCCGAGCTGCAGCAGCAGCAGCAGCAGCAGAGGGAGCATGCAGCAGCAGCAGCATAGGGAGCATGCAGCAGCAGCAGCAGCAGCGCTGAGCATGCAGCAGCAGCTGCGCTGCAGCAGACAAGCGGGAAAAGCGGCGCTCTAGCTAGCGTAACTCTCAGCTAGTTATCTAGCTAGCTAGATAGCTAACTAGTTGCTCAGCTAGCTAGCTGGCTAGCTAGCCAGCTAGCTAGCTAGCCGGTGGCTAGCCACTCAACTAGGAGTCCATCCAATCAGTTAGCTATCTAACTTGTCAGTTACTTTGTAACTTGGCCAGTCAGCTAGCTAGCTAACTAGCCAGCCAGCTAGCTAGCTAGCTAGTCAGCCAGCTAGCTAGCTAGCTAGCTAGCTAGCTAGCCAGCTGCTTGTGCGTCAGCAACAGTTACCTGAGCCCCTGTGCATCGAGGGCCTGCAACGCTTCCCTCCGTCCGTCTTCTGCTGTTTCTGCATCTCCTGCTGCTGCTGCTGCTGCTGCTGCTGCTCGGCGGGTTCGCCTTTTCTTCGTTTCAGTGATCGCCAGGCCCTCCATCTCCTCAGCCATCTCCTCATCTGCAGCAGCAGCAGCAGCAGCAGCAAGTGCAACAGCAGCACGACGCCACAACGGCTCAGCAGCAGCAACAAACAACGGCTCTTGGGACCAACAGCAGCAGCAGCAGCAGCAGCAGCTGCAGCAGCAGCAGCACACCTTCTGTGATGGCTCCCTTTCCCCTTCTTGGCCTGCAGAGCCAAACAAGAAGAGGAAAACAAATAGTAAATAAATAAATAAACAAATATATAGATAAATAAATAAAGAATAAGCAAATACAAAATAAAAGGAAACAAACAGAAAGCAAATGAAGAGAAGCAAGGG